TGGATGACTGGCGCGCAGGCGGAGGAGTGGAGCACGAGTACACGTCCGCATACTTGGGCGCGTGTGACAGAGCGGGGTTGATTTGTGACCTGTTTGAAGCACTTTTCTCAGGGAGGTCAAGTGCACTTCAAGTCAGGGAGTAAAAGAGTGGGAGGCTACGAGCTCCAGGTGGGGAGGCAGCAGGGCATGCTGGGTAACAAGGGAGGCGGAATGGACTCCGGGGATGTTGGGAGTAGTTTTCTGAGGAAATTCACATTTTGTGACGGCGTCACACACTGGACCGTCCCAGTCCATAATGTTGATTTACAGTCTTTCAGGGAACTGACACACAGGAGTCACACACTCTCTACGGTGGTAAAAACGTACCAGTCTGCTGTGGCCAATACAGTCAGACCACCCAGGAACATCTGAGGTGTCTGTAAAAAGTCGTGTCACTCAGGAATAGTACCGATGATGTCATACACACACAGACACCCTGGTTTTTGTGCTTTGAGAGCACTTGACATTAATATAATAGATTATGTAGCATTTCATTCAAACGATGCTAGTTCTGTTGACAGGTTGTTGTTGTTTGACCTGTTATGTCGCCGAAAGAACACTAAAGAGTGATCAATGATCGGTTCCAACACAACAGCATTCAATATTTATCATATTTACACATTCACTTCATCAACTCCAATGACCTGAACTAACACCTGATCTTCAGTTACCTGCTATTTTGCTTTTTTGCTTTTTTCAACTTTTTCAACAACATTTTGTCACTCAGGATTGAGTTAAAAAAAACCCTGGTGAAGGCTCACACGATGTCCACGCACGCAGTAAAAGTCCCTGGAAGAAACCTGGAAGTCACGAGTGATGGTTCGGTATTTTTCTGACCAAAAACCTTTTTATTTTAATATGTGGGATGGAGGATTCTTCCAGGGGGGAAAATATGATTGAAGAGGAGTTGAACTCACACACACACTCACACACACACACACACGGGCAGCTTTAGTCAGAGCCTAATGAGGAGTGAGTGAGGTAAGGAACAGCCACGTCAAACCTGGCCGGTTGGTGTTTTTTTATTCTCTTTCTCTCCTCTCATCTGGTCTCAGGTCGTCCACTTCTTTCTACTCCTGTGTTTCTACTTCCTCTGATGAAGTTTTCCCTGATACGAAAACAGGTTATTCTGAATCCTCCCAGTCTCCTGTGTCATTTTTGTTTTTGTCCCTTTTTTTCTGTTCAAATTCCAGCATTTCTTTTCCTACCGTCCGTCACCTGCTCCTCTGTTTTCTGGCCGCTGACGTCTGAGTTTAAACTCCTGAAACCAGTATTTAAAGCTCCGTTAACATTCTCCTGTCTCGCTGAGTCACGCATTTGAGTCACACGTTCCTGCCTGACCGTGTTGGGAAGAGGACTCTAATGGGAGATGATTCACTTATTTACACACAGACAGGCTCAGACGTCTACGTCTAATCAGGAGGGGGCGCCCACAGCCTGATATCACTGCTCTGACATCATCATCTTCTTCCCTCTAATAACAACTGTACAACAACGGTTTTACAGTACACCAGAGGGAGGCTGAGTGAAGTCTTTGTGGAGACGAGGAATGCAGTAATGGCTTTGATTAGAGACGCCGAGGCTGACCTCTGGACAGGAGGAGGGCAACTCTGTCTTTGGGCGTGGAGTATTAAATATGTTCCACTTCGACCGTCAATCATCACCGAAAACATCACTGAAGCTGAAACCCAGAAACTGGCATTTAAGTCAAAGCCCTAAGTGTTGGTTGCACTGACTCACTATCGACTGTGATATAAAACTGTTTTTTTTATTTCTGCATTTTCATTTTATTGGGGCAGTTTGTGGCCTGGTAAAAATGGATGAAGCTTGAGCAATAAAGGTTGCTGGTTCAACTCCCGGCCCTGAGGGTGGTGAGTTGCACTAATACAGAGAACAACTTCCTTCAGGAGGATTAACAAAGGGTGTTACAGTGATTTGGCGTGGATTTTACGCCACATCCCCCCCACTCTCTGATTAGGTGTGATTGAACCAGCAGCCAGTAGATGGCAGACAAGAATCCTTCAAGTGTGCCAACACTGCCCTCATTAGTCGTACCGCCTCATTAAGACAACATTACAGAATCACTAATCACCTTCTATTCCCAAACTACCACTTAATATCTAAACAAGGATTCATAACGCAATCTTTTCTCATATCATGGTGTTATTTTGTATCATATCGCATTGGATCGTGTTGTGACTTATGTCATATTATATCGTATCTTATTGTATCATGGCGTGTCGTACTGTATTATGTCGTATCATATCACACTGTATCGTATTGCGTCATGTAGTATTGCATCGTATCGTATCCTATCGTATCATGTTGTATCATATCTCACAAGTGTCTTTCCTGTTCAAACCTGATATTGATATAGATTCTGTCAGTCTGTTTCAGGCAGGATTTGCTCATTCAAGGCTAACCTGTTCAATCAATTCAATTGATAATGTTGATATATTTTCATGAGGTTATGATTCGGGTTCTTTTTCTGTTCAACGTCAGTAAAAACAACATAAACCGGCCTCACTGCCACTGCAACTCTTTAGTCTCTACCACCGGTGAATTCTCTGTCGTACGATCAAAACAATGAACCTATTGTTGACTTCACTTCAGTCAAACTCTGTTCTCAGCTGTGACTGTCAACTCTTTAAACCTCCGCCCCAAACAAAAACAGACAACGCAATTCCATGACCTGGGTCCGACCCCTGCAGGAGGGATCATTAGCTGTTAAGAGGCAGTAATTTTCTATAATAATTGGGAATAAAAATGTTGGCACGGCTCCAGTCACATAACATGAGTGAAAGGTAGAGAACAGGCCCGTCGACTAACACCGGGATGTCACTACCGTCAGGTCTCCTCATCACTAAATCACAGCTAGCAGGCTGAACTGAGAGTATGTAGCACGGTGGTGCTGTGGGATCCCACCGTGCTGCATCTGTCCATCTACAAAGCCCAGCTCTGTGTCTGACACTGATGTACTGACCATCCAGCAGACAGAACATCCCACGGACGTGCCAACTAATGTAAGACGCCCAGTGGACATTCCATCAGCCGCTCACAGACAATAAAAATCACAGTTTAACAATCGTGCAGATCACAGACATTTGGGGAAAAAAAAAGAGGTCAAAAAGTTCTAAGACAGATGTTATCAGGAATGTATCCAACACCATCCACAGGTTATCATCACAAAATCAACAACTTGAAGAAACCAAAACTTAAAATACATTGCGAGAAACTGGATCTTGCTTCTTGGACAAAGAAAATACATTTTCAGACATGGACATTGCAAGGGCCACGGGCCACATCTTGCTCTCTGACTATCACCAAAAAGCTTGCGTGAAATTGTTTTTAAATTCAGTCAAAATGTGCAACTACCACATCTATTAGGCAGTGATAGGTTCATGGAATACAACTGCAAGGCTTTTATTTTGAAGGTATCTCTTCTGGTTTTTCCTACAAAACGAGAGTTGTTTTTTTTTTAAGGTAATTTTTCTGGGTTTTCTTTTCAAATATATGTCAATATTAAACTTTTGAAATGCACAACTCCACCAACAAACAATGAGTCCTATCTAAGCCTAACAACTCAGCTCTCCAATATTGTTTTATATAAACAATAATATTTTCTACATATATCATATAATAACTACACTACTGTGTTAAAAAACACAACAGACGATCAGTTTAGAAATCATATAATATCTGGGTTTGTGTGTACTGAGGCGGTACATCCGACTTGTCTTTAAATTAAACATTCGTTACTAAACCACCGCGTATAATTAAATTCAAGAGCAGAAAAGTGAAGGTGCTAATAAAAGTGAGAAGAAGGATGAGGGCATTAATGGAGTCCAATGTCAAGTCAGCAGTAACTGTGAGGTCATCTGTCCAGTAATGATCATCTTTTACTAAATGGATCCATAAATCTTCCCACAGTGACTCTGACCCTCCTACAGGTTCACTCTCTACATGCACCGCGGTCTCTGTCCCGGTGCAGGCTCCAGTCCGCCACCACGTGACGAACTGCAGGACTGCTGAACTGGATTAGTACTGCCGTGGAAAATTGATTTCAATGTAATATAAATCTGACGTCATCACAGTCACCGTCAGGAACTCAATGACAAAAGACCGCTGTAGGTTCGATAAAATAAGAGGTACAATAACTTGTCAAACAGCGACACGATGTGGTCAAACTGAATAATTGCGCTGGCGGAGTGTCTTTTTTTATGAAGTTCAGCTTAGCATTATAGGATAATACTGGTGATATAATACAGGTTTACAGTCTACACATTAAATAAATAATATAAACAAACAAATAATATAAGGTGACTTTATCCTTGCAATTTATATCGATCTCAGGTTGAACATATTTTACAAATTGCTAATTATAAATTAAATTAATTAAATTAATTGTCACACCAGACACTAATACACTAAATAATGAGTCAGATGACTAACAAGACACACTTCTTATTTACATACACAAAGTTAAATTATAATTAAAACGACGAACCAGCATGTTGCACTAACGGCTTTGTCCACAGGGTGGTGCGCAAGAGCTTTTCAAAAAAGTTCCTGGAAGGAAAGCGGTGACGTTTAATCATAAATTACAGAAGTATTTAGCTTAACTTTGTTTGTCCACTGGGTACATTTCACATATACAATAAACAATAATTAATTTTTACACCTCAATTAAATACTTGACAAGTATTTGTTTATTTCATTATATCAGGATAAGCTGTTTATACATGATACGGTGACAATGTACTCATCTGGACCAGGACTATAGGTCAATATCACCGTCTGTATTAAAGTGAGAGGGAAAAACACACAGAATAGACCAGTGGGTTTCAAACTGTGGTTCGAGTACCGGTGGTGGTACAAGGGGAAGAGAATAAAAATGTCGCATATTATTAAAATAAAGAGATAAATCTGAAAAGTTGAGAGCGTGTTTAAAAAATAAAAAAAATAAAAAAAAGAGGTGGAGGAGAGAGAGAGAGAGCGAGTGAGAGAGAGAGAGAGCGTGGTTTGAAGTTTGTCAAACAGTTGCGCCCAGGAGTCTGATGGATGGAGGACGGACACGCGCATCCAGATCCGTTAGTAGACGCGCGTGGGTCTGTTGATAAGAACGCACGAGGTGGACAACTTTTCTTTTAGGTGTAAAAAGGACTGAAAACTGTTATTGACGGGGGTTTTTTCTCCACACAAACAATGTTTCACAGCGAACCTGGAACTGTTGGTGTTTGACGAGCGGAGTTCGAGTTTTTTTGTGTGTGTGTCCGGCGGAGACGCGCTCCAGAGTCCACGGGGAGATGGTCCGCTGCTGAGGGAGGTGTTCGACATTAGTGACGCTTTCATGGCTCTCCACTGAGGCCCTTTGTTGGACCGGACAGGTGCAATGATTTTCACGGTTCTGCGTCTTGGTCAAAGAGGAGTCAATTAGTTTAGTTTTTGTTTTGTTGTTGTTTTTGAACATTCACCTCCTTTAACTTCATCACAAACTTAAAAAAAAAAAAAAAACGCGAGCTTTTTTTTTTTTTTTTTTGCATCAATCAAAGGACTTCTTGTGAAGATCCAGGCGCGTGCACAGGAGCCATGTCAGTGCAGCACCGTTTCAGTGGGATTTACGCATCTTTGCGGGACGTGAAGGTCGAGAAGCGCGTGCGTGACGTGTGCGTGTGAGCGTTAGTTTGACCACATTTCCATCACCTGAGGGGAAAAGACTTTTTTTTTTTCTTTTTTTTTAATATAAACACGAACTTCACAGAGAACTGTTTTTAATCTGCTGTGGAAATGGAGCCGTGTAAATACCTGCTGTGTCTGCAGTTCGTCCTCCTCGTTAAAGGTGAGACAAACTTTTTCTTAATTACTTCCCTAATTGACACATTTAACCCCTGTGTCGCCCCTGGCGGTCACAAAGAAAATGTTACCTCTACTTTTATGTAAATAAGTCATATAGAAATTAAGTTAAAAAAATATGGATTTTTTTTTTTTTTGGAGAAATGTGTTGGACTTAAATTGTTCCACAGAAATGATTGATGAACTATTTATGTTATTTTCTTTGAATAAGATCAAAATGACCTGCGGTTATTTTGACCCAAAAATAATATAAGAAAACTAGACAAAACTATTTTTCTTGGATCATCCAGTCAGTGTTCTTCAAACTAGTTAACCTATAACGTTAAGTCGTACCACGGCCTATGATTAACGGCTCTTCTCGGCCCAGTCGCCCCCCTCTCTCTCTTCGTGATGAGGTCATTAACCTCCATGCGCAGCTCTCGCTCTGCGGCAGACAACATGTGCGAATCATGCCGTCCACATGTGCACCAGTGGGCTTCATTCTGTGTGACAGTAAACGACGGACCATGAAGACATTCCTAACATGACTGTGTGCAGGACAGAAGAGAAAAGGGGAAAAAAACACACACATGGCAGCGCTCCCGTTCACCAGAGACATGAAAAAAAAGAATAGGAAGTTGTGCACAAATCCAAATCAACAGAGTCCCTGGTTCAAATCCAGGTCCTGTAAATCATTGGGAATGATCAGTACAGTACTTCCCTCCGGAGGTCTTCAACTACCAGACGATGTTCAGAGCCGTCTATCAGATGATATTTACATATTCCCTCTGCTAAAAAGGTAACTGGTCCATCTCCTCTTACAGCTGACACCTTCTGACCCTGGCAGCTGTGAAACACTAGCTCGTGGGTCATATCAGCCATCTCACAGACTCCCCTCCTCTAAGGTTCCCCTAATAAGGCCGCTGGGCCAGAGGGTTTTTCTCCACGAAGCGTGAACCTGGACTGGCCACACTCCCTCACTGGGACAGTGTCCGCTAACCAGAACAGAAACCAAAGAAACGGACCATTGTTGTCTACGCAATGACCGAGTGTTTGTGTAGCCGATAAGCGGCGCTAGTTGAACTGCGACCACACAGAGTGCGGCCATTAACAACAGCGAGAAATGATGTTGTGCGAAGTATGTTGATGTTGACGTTGATGTTGACGTTGATGTTGACATTGATGTCTTATCAGACCTGGAACAAACACTCAGTGTCTAAAGTCCATGCATAGATTTATACAATGACGCTTTTAGGAAAGGCGACGGATGCTGAGGTGGAGTCTGCCACCTCCGTACTTTACCTATTTACACCTTCTCTCAATAAACAGGACAAACAATATAATACAACTGACATAAATCAAGATAAAGTGCATTAGGAGATACTTAAAATAAACCCACACCACAGGACTCTTGGGTAATATTTTGGAAATCATAGACTCGTCTTTTGTCTCCTTATTGGGCTTATAATTATTTTTCATTAATATATTATTTCCAAAAAAGTTTTTATTTTTTTCCATGGACCAGTCGCGGTCCATTAACCAGGGGTTGAGAACCCCTGTTGTATATCAAATACATGTAGCTAGCCCTGAGGTTGGTGAAGACAGTTTTCAAAAGGTTGTTCACAGAACTCACCGTTTCCCGCGCTCTGACTCTTCTGTCTGGCTGTCAATCACTCAGTCTCCACCTACTGGAAGAAAAAAAAATCACATGTTACAACCATGACATGTTTGACTGAAAAAACATGACTTCAGTCCTGCACCTGCGACTATAAACACAACAGGGGTATTCTTTAATCACCCCTCCACACGAGGTGCAGCGTTAGCCTACTAGGAGTCTTTATGTGAGGGTCAGTGACCCCCAGGGGTTCCCTGGTGGTACTGCAGGCCGGGGTCATACTTTTTAGAGGTTAATTAGACTTTTTATATATATGCATGTTCAAAATGGACCAATAGGATTTGAGCCTGCGTCACTGAACCAGTCCATAGTTACAACAACAATACAATGTTTTCAGTGCAAAATAACAAGGTATGTTTACATGTGGCAGCCGCACAGTTTAACAAAAAACACTATTTTATACTTTAAATATAAAGAGAGCGTAAAGAGGGATATGGTTGATAGCGCAGCCTGGTGGTCCTCGGGTGTTCTAGCATCCCTGAGAACCAATCAGCATGGTCCATCCATATTTTATTAACAGTCTACGGTCGTACTGTTTCACATCTGTTCACGTGAACATGGACGGTGCGTTTCATCTCACACCGTGTTTTAATTTATGTTTTATAGCGTGGGTTTTTGGTGCGGGTTTCTCTGTTTTTGCCGTGAACGACTTTTCTTGCTGTTTTACAGGAACATGTATGTGAGTGTGTGTGTGTGTGTGTCGCTGTTTTACAGGAACATGTAGGTGAGTGTGTGTGTGAGTGTGTGTGTGTGTGATCATAATGGTCTTAGCAGAGCTCCCGTGATGCAGGCAGCAGACATCTCGTGTCTTTTACACTCTGTTGTGCTTTTCTAAGATGTCAAACACAGGTGTGTGTGTGTGTGTGTGTGTGTGTGTGTGACCCATCATTCATAAATTCCTGCTATTATTCTCCCAACTATCTTCTTGTGTTTTTTCACTCTTCTATCATTTGCTGACTCTCATTTCTGAACTCCCACTCTTCCTCTCCGTCCACCCCCGTTCCCCTCGAGAACGGTGACGGACATGAGAACAGAACAAGACTGAGATAATGGAGAGAAAATCTGTGAACGAGTGTGAGACGAGGTGAAGGGGGAGGAACAGGGGTGACAGCAAACACACACACACACTTGGACAACAACTCAACAGCAACACATGTCACAGGAGTTCAAAGATCTGGGATCAGAAATGATGGATCCCAAAGTTGGGGGCGAGGCCACACAAGGGGACAGATTTCTTTGGGTCCAATTAAACAATCTGAACATTAATAATCAAATGAAGTTTTTTCTATCCCTTTTCCTGCAGCCTTTAACAACATAGGTTTGGTATAAATCAGTGTTTCCGAAAAACTTTTTTTCTCAATGCCCATATTTCAAAAGTCACAAACCTTCGCGACCCAAGTCGGGGGGCGCGCAACATGTTGGAGGTCCGGGAATCTTGTGCTCGTAAACTCCAAAAAAAAAAAAAAAAATCTTGTGCCAGACCTGAGGGTCACGACCCAGTCTTTGGAAAATAATGATATAAAATGGAGAAAAAAATAGAGTGAGAAGTATCTTTAGTCTCAAACACTTCTATTACAGTAGTGGTTCCCAAAGTGGGGGGCGAGGAACATGTTGGAGGTCCGGGAATCTTGTGGGAGAGGAAGGCTAATTGCACTTACGTTTGTTATCGAAACTTTGTTTAATGAGAGTGGCAGAAATGACAGTGGAAGACAAGTTGCACTTGTTATCAAAACTTTGTTTAATGCGAGTGGCAGAAATGACAGTGGAAGACAAAGGTGTCCACGTGAGGGGGCCGTTGACAATTGTCCTCTCTGCAGGGGACGGAACGCTAACGAAAAGTTTGGGAGCGACTTTCGTTAGATCGCTGGTTTGATTCCCAGTCAGAAACTGATGGTCTCTCTGAATGGTTTTCCTCTGTGTGACCAGAATCTTCTTGAAAAAATAAATTACAGTTTGAAGAAACTGGCGTCGTGTTCCACGGATAAAAACAAAACCTAAAACTGGTGAATTACACCATAACGTCCTGCTGGTTCTGGAGTTCGTCTACGGCTTCGCCCTTCTTCGACCTCAGTCGATTTTCTGTCCATTTTTAACATTTGGTTCATGAACATAACGTCATGTTGTTTCTCCTGTAGGTACTTCAAAACAAAGTAAGAGTCAAGTTCAGTTCCTTCCCTCCTCGTGTACAGTATATTCAGTGTATACAACACACACACACACGCACACACACACAGTATGGCTGCCCGAAGCCAAACGTGTGGTTGAGAGAATCTGGACCCAGTTTGGCTTGATAAATGTTTGTCGTCAGTTGTCATGACGACGGTTGGTCAGACGGCCTGTGGTGCAGTGTCATATATAAACCCTCATGCGAAGGAAACCAGAGGAGAGGAGAAAAGACAAGCAGCGTTGCTGTGTTTGGTGAAAAGTCTGTGGGGCCGTGCGGTGGGATCCAGAATATTTATGGTTTATGAGAGAACGAGGGAGAAAGTCAGTGGCAGGGCTCCTTATCAAAGGCCTGGACGGTTTCTGGAAGGCAATTTGGAATGGTAGACGCTGGGTGATGCTACAATGAAAGATTTTACTACTCTGTGTACTTCACACAGACCAGGCCAGTAGGAAAGAGACGGCAGGAAGAATGACTTGTTGCAGCTTTTTTTTTTTTGGGGAGAAATAGATTTGAATTCCTCCTGGACGTGAAGGGGAAGATTTAGTTTTTGGTTTTTATGATTGGTTTTCGTTGCCCACGCATATTCCCATCACTGAGGTGCATGAGACATCTGTGCAGAGACAGAAAGGATGACTTAATATCAAAGTCTGCAGAGGGTTTGGACATAAAAATACTGCAGTTCTTCAAGTTTTTCTGGAGTTCTGAGTGACAGCTGGAGGAAAAATGACGACTGCTGGTGTCAATCTGTTGATGAGTCAGGTCTGAGGTGTTGAAAATGTGGGACAAAGAAAGACAAAGATGCAGCTGTGTGCCTTCAGAGACGTAGTGAAGGGAGACATGGACTGATGGTTAGGTCAAAAGAAGGAAGCAGCCAGACGACGGAGAAGAAGGAACTCCAACACTCACCGAATGCTAATTCAGTCAGCAGCGAGTGAATATTTCGTTTGGCCACAGTTGTGGCCATATGTTGGTTCAGTCATTTCTGGTAAATGCATGACTGGTCGGTTTGATCTCTGTCAAAAACAGACTTGTCAGTAAGAGAACACTGCTGTTTGTAGCATAGACATCAGTACTGGACAGATACTAGAACACAAGTTACTGCAAAACATAAAAAAAAAGTAAAAAAAGTCAAAGCAGGTTTCAGGTGAAAACATTTTGGTGCAGACTCCAAACTAAACGTATCTGATTCCCCTCTGAATCCTCCTCTGATTGGCCCGGCCAACGTACCTGTGTGTATTTGTGCGTGTGTTTGTGTAAATGCAGTATAACTTCTTCCTGTCATGTGATCATGAAGTCATGAGAATCATGAGAGCGACTGCAGCTAAATTACACGTCAAGTCAAACTCAAGTCAAACCCTCCTTCAATAAAAGCAGGACGGGGAAGTGAACGTGTCATTATCCAGTTAACGCAGTAATAATTAAAGTCCACCATTTTTTTTGACCACGTCTTGACAATTTTAATATTATTATCATAGGTCTGTCAAACAAATTTATATTTTTTATCTGATTAATTGGAGCATAGTTGATGATTCATCAAATTAATTTATGTTATATAACTCAACTGATTAATTAAGTTTGACCACGTGTTGACAGTTTTTTAAAAAATCTTATTATCATAGAGCTGATTAATTGCAGCGTAGTTTAGGATTAATCAAATTAATTTATGTTATGTTTAATGTTATATAACTCAACTGATTAATTAACATGATTGACAGCCCTAAAATAAATTAGGAAAATACTGTGAGAGGATTTTATTTTGAAGGGAGGAATTTGTTTTCCTGTGCGTGACATGTATCTTTTCTACTGTCCTCTCACCTCTCTCTCCCATTTCTCTCTCTCTCTCTCTCTCTGTGCCTGTGTGTGTATAAAGGTAGATTCGTGTGTCAGTACAGGGAGCTCACTGTACCTCATAGTTTTTATAAACCCACACCCTCCCTGCCTTACCTCTCCCTCCCTGAATGAAGTCTAAGTTTGTGTTTGGTCACCGTGTTTCACCCCCGTCAGTTTCCTCCTCTCCTCCCTCCACGTGCACTTCTGTTTGCTTATACGTTTCTAATTGAAAATGTTTTTTTCCTTCTACAAATATAGATGTTAATGTTAACTTCAAGAGAACATGATTGGTGAATACTAGTCAACAGAATACAGGGATTATGTAAAAACAGTGTAACTCGAAATTAAAAGATCTATCAATTTTAAAACAAAACAGTTTCTCTTAATAATTTCGAACTTTTCTGCAACCGTTTTTTCCATCAGAGAATTCCCTCTTTAAGGAATTCTAAGGAACGTCTTCTCCACCAGGTCACAATCTGCTTCTTTGCCTCGTCTACAAAGATGAAATAATATTTTTTTTTCAAATAAATTTTATCTTCTCCACCAGGTCACAACCTGCTTCTTTGCCTCGTCTACAAACATGTAATAATATTTTTTTTTCAAATAAATTTTCAGTTTTGCAAATATGGAAAAATCCAAACCATTGTTCATTTCTGAAGATCAAATCTAGCTTTCTGAAAAATGTCATTTCAGAACTTCTTGACTTGGGTCTGGGGCTCAGTGGGATTTGGAACGCCCTCCCAGACGGTCTGGGAACAAACCCAGCAACATGCCAATTTGTCCTTGGACACATTATTGATTTCCTCCCAAACCCAAACCACCAAACTCTGGTCCAAAACCCAGAGAAATAGCGACATTTGCAGCGTGCAGCGTGTGTTCGTGCTAACGATGGAACGTATCGTCATCCTGGACAGTAGAAGGGAATCATTAAAAATGTTTAAAAGGGTGAGGCTTTAACTCAAAGTGGAGACTATACCTCATCACTATTATATCAAAACATACGAGGAGGTCGTGTTACAAAATCTCAGCCGCATCTCAAAGGACAAAGGGCGCTCTCTGGAGGATGAAAATGTACAGAGAAGACGGAAGAGGAGTGAATGAGGTCGACTACGACTGCGACTACTACAGAGGAGGTGGATCCAGACCCCCTAGACCCCCCCCCAATCTCAGCTTCCTTCAATGTTGCCCTGAGTTCTTTTCCACAGACTCCGGGGCCACAGATCCAGCTGTGTCCCTCAGTCGACGCCAACCTCCCACGTGACTCACCCTTTACGCGCTTTGACAAAGGTGATCACAACATCTGCCGTTTGGTCAGGACATGGTCACCACTGATGACGACTCTCCAGTCTGGTGTTCAAACACTAAGAACCATAATTTTCAGTTCAGTTAGAACTGAAGAAGTCTCTTGAATTAAAGGTTAACGTTTTCTAGAAACAAAGAAAGTCTGGTTTTCAAGACTTTACTGCTTTGGATTATTATTATTATTATTATCATCACAAATCTGGTGTAAAAACATGGCCATATATAATGGTCTTCTTTATCAGTCACTATAGCAACTTAGTTTGTATATAAAAGTGTATCATTTTGTTGACTTTGTCTTCCAGAGTTGTGTCAGTGTTTCAACATCGATGACACTCATCCTCGCATCTTCACTGGTCCTGAGGACGCTCTGTTTGGCTTCTCTGTTCTGCAGCATGAGTCGAATGGAGAGAAATCGTAAGTCTGTATGAAAAAGAATGACGTGAAAGTAAAGTTTTTAAAAAAAAAAATGTCTTCAAACTAAACTTTAAACTAACTTTGTTCAAAGGATGCTGGTGGGCGCTCCGTGGGACGGGCCGCCAAACAACAGGAAAGGAGACGTGTATAAGTGCATTGTGGGAGAAGAGAAGAATTCGAGTTGCAGCAAAGTTTATCTAGGTAAGAAAAACAAAGAACTGCCTCTCACGCTCTCTCTCTGGACAATTCATCCAGTTTAGACCACAGCTTTTGATCAACTATTGTGTTCAACCGTGACAGGTGAAACTGCTCTCCAGAACGTCTCTAAAAACCTGAGGAATTCTCACCTGGGAATGACCCTGACCCCAGACTCACCTGACGGCTTTCTGGTAAGACGATTAGACACTGAGAATAAAGTATTACATTTAAAAAAAATAATGCTGTTTTTACTCTAAATAAAAGAAACACTTGTATCATTGTTGACCCAATAATCACGTTATCGTGAGTGAGAACAACGACCAGATCATCTGCCGCACAAAATACAAACTGACACAAAGGTGTGGAGTCCAGCAGTAAAGGACAGTTAAAACAACGATGCAAAGGACAAGAGTCTTTCGTTAGCTAGTATAGCTAACGGAATATAACACATTTAGCTAACTTAACTAGCGCTGCTATACACTGAGGTCGACTTTGTTTACATTCGTCTGTTGTACGCCGCACACTGGACTGAGCTGCATTCGCTTTCTTTCGTTTGCGTCTGTTTTTTGGGGGGGGAACTTTTAGCCCTTCATTATGGCTCTCAGGTGGCTCCCAGGTGTAAGTCAGACTGTTCCGATGTTTTTTATGTTCTAGACTCCGATGTTACCACTGTGTTAGCGTAGGTACTTATGAACAGTGTGTGAAAACATTTGACGTCCCACCGTAGTAACAGGGACTACGACTGAAGTCTTCCTTCCATGTCCAATGGTTTAGGTCAGAATACTGTAACCTTATTTTACTCTATACGGGATCTGACATGTTTTGCAGCTCTGTGTGTGTGCGTGTGTGTGTGTGTTCGTTAGCTCCAGTGGTTCTGCAGTTTTGAGGTTTCTGGCTCTCATACAAACACAATTCTGCCTAGACAAGGAGGCAACAGTGTGTGTGTGTGTGTGTGTGTGTATGCACTGTAGCCTCTGCTCACCTTTACATACTGACTGTGTGACTGACGTTGTCCATGTGTGACCGTTACAGTTAGCCTGGCTAACATTTTGGCGTCTGCCAGATTTTTTTTTTTTGGTTTCCTCCCGATCGCCCTATAGAGTCAGATACAGTCGGAGTGAGCCAGAGTTAATTTGTGCGTATTGTATGTGAGTGTGTGTATGTGCGCACAGGCGTTTGTGTGTCTAAACCCCAGTGGTCAGGTCTATAACAGGATCGGAATGCGTCTCCGGCCCTTTGTTAATGACAGACCTGCTAAAAGCCATAGCACCTCTCTGGGCTTTCTTCCGTAGATTTCTCTCATCGCTCTCTCCGTCCCTTCTTCTCTGTCTGTCTGTGTGAGTGTGTGTGTGTGTGTGCCCAAGGAGAAACCCGTTCATAATGACAGGGCAGGCCGTACCAGGATGTTTTTCTTTCTCTCCTTCTACTCCACTGCACCCCCCATTAGGTCTACACTCTTTGTCCCTGGGGTGTACGAACCAGTTTCTCTTTTATCTACTCTCACTGCATTTTTCCACTTTGTCTTAAAGCCAAATAAACTAGCTGGTTTTTTTTTGGTTTTTTTTGAAGAAATATAACCCCCTCCTCCTGCCCCCCTAAATTTAACACAGTCAGAGTTTAATTGTTTCCCTGGTCTGGTGCTCCAGCTCTGTTAAAGCACTCATGACAACAGCGGCTGCCAACACGTTAACAATAGCGCTCTTTGCTTCTCCCTCAGTTTTGGTTCCCCCCAAAAAAAACAAAGAAAAAAAAACCACACCATTGTAGTGTTTCCATGACTTGTCCTCTCCTAAGTTGTTTTCTGTTTGTCCCTCGTCCACTCTCTCACTGTTTATTCTGAGGTCACTCAGCCACACGTGTTTACGCCTGTAGTCTCTTTGATAACCACCGAAAACAAAACACCTACACCGCCTGAGAGGGGAACATAAATATTTAAAAAAACACAGGTTCAATCAACAGCAAATGCTTCTGTAATTGTGTCACCTGTGAAACAGATGCTATTGTGTGTTGGCAGGCATGCGCCCCCCTGTGGTCCCAGGAGTGCGGGACGTCGATGTTCAGCAAAGGCATCTGCGCCTCCGTCAGTGACGATATGGAACCCAGAGAGACCATCGCCCCGACGGCACAAAGTAACCACACATATGAACATGCACACGCACACTCACGGGCCACAACGGGTTCTAACATTTGACAGGAGGGGGCGCACCAGGAGCAGATAGATGGAGTGTTTGTCTGAATCATCTGCTCATTTTTACTGAAGGGCAAAGTGAAACATTGCACCTCAACCACAAAATGTGCCACCTACTGGGAAATCATGGGCATTGCAAGGGAAAAAGGCAAAAACAACAGAAGTCTAATCTAATTTAATAATATAATCTGGACCAGTGGGCCGGATTAGGAAGCCTATAGGGCCATGTCAGGTCCCCAGGCCGTAGTTTGCCCACCCCTGCACCAGGAGAATATTTTCTCATGACTCCCATTTGGGTAAAGTCTGGACTGGTCATCCCTATTTTGGCACAGTCATTTGGGGAAGCAGACCTGTGCTGATCTCAGATGTGGTCAATCAAATATGTCGGAGTTTTCTTTGGCCAAATCTGGACCCAATCAGGGAGTGTGAAGTGATTACTAAACCAACAACAAAACGTTTCCACAATGAGAAAGAGAGTGTGACACACAGGAAGACGACTTCTTGTGGTCCAGTCGACACAGCAAACCTGGGCCGCAGAAATTGAGGAAAGACTGATTGAGTGTTGGCAGCAGCACGTGTGCCCATAAATCGTCGGCTGCAGCGGACACCTCACCAAGAATTTGGTCGACTTTAATTGGTTTGACAAATCACGTCTCGTGTGATCGTCATAAACCAAAACCAGTCAGACAGATTCTGAAAAGTTGTGTCGAAAATTCTGAAACTGCACTAACCAACCAAACCCTTCTTAATCTCCCACATTCGGCAGGGTGCTCCACCTACATGGACATCGTCATCGTGTTGGACGGCTCCAACAGCATCTACCCCTGGTACGAGGTGCAGAACTTCCTGAGTAACATCCTCAGCAAGTTCCACATCAGCTCGGACCAGATGCAGGTAAACGTGAACATCAACGCTCATCTCCACTGTCTGTGGATGGTATTTACATTGGTAATGGAAAAAAAAAAGCTGTGGTTGAAAAGTTCTCCAAGAGTTCTCTCTCCCACAATGCTCTGGAACGTCTTAGCCCAGAGCCCAGAGCAAAACGACGGGCTAAAAAGTGAAAGCAGGCCCGAAATGACATGTATTTCAGAGAGATTGTTTAGAATGAATTGCGGTAATGATGTGAAGAGACATTAGTGGAGCCGCTCTGAGGTTTAGTTGAAGGGAAGTCAAAGGCTCCAAGGACGTTAGTCCGAGCTTGACAACGAGGGGAGAAGGAGGTGAGTGGGGGGTTTGGAGTGTGGGGTGGTCGTGGAGTGTAGGAGGGGTATGTGAGGTGAAGAGGAAATACCTCTGGTTTTTGAATGAATTCAGAGATTCCTTGGACTGTACTGTTTGCTTTAAAAACAAAAGTGTTGTTACTAAGCTATGTCCATTTTTGTGGTTAAAATTCAGAAAAAAATGTACTTTTTTGGTATGCTAACTTATGATCACAGTTAAATCCTACACTAATAATTTCCTGAAAGTCCTCAAAAATAAAAGGTTCTCAAAAATGACTTAAAAATACACTCATTTGCTTTAAAATACATAGCTTTGTCCATTTTTGTGGTAAAAATTAAGAAAAAATATACTTTTTTGGTACTCCAACTTTTAATCACAGTAAAATGTTATACTAATAAGTCCCTAAAAAAGTCTTCAAAAGTAAAAGTTTCTCAAAAAAGACTAAAAATACACTCATTTGCCTTTAGGAGATACAGTATTTGACTTAAGTCAGAACCCAAAAAACACAAGTGTCAGATGTTACTGCCCACAAGTATGTAGAAACCATGGACATGTGGCATTGTTGAAATGCTCGTGTGTTTGTGCATTTGTACGAGAGGAAGTCAAGACGTTTGAAGGCAACTTAAAAAAAAAAAAAAAAAAACGAATGTAGGAAAAAAACATGGCCTTTTTATCTACATTTCTGCCATTTGGGTCTGAACTCTTCCGTAAGCTTCGTTCTCACCAGGAAATGCTGTCTTTGTGAAAATTTTAGTTTTACATTTTAAAGTTTTAAATATTCCGGTCAGACTCACAGCAAGTGTCAGATCCAGCATCACAGAGAACAGTTCGACAGGACATGGTCAAACTGCGAAGCGACGACTAAAATCCACCAACGACAGGAAGAGAAATTTTGAGAAAGTATAGATATTTTGGTCTGGATATTTCTACAATTCACATTATTGATGAATAATTGTGACTAATTATGAATTCACCACAGCTACCGTCTTAATCAGATTAAAAATTGTAACCGTTTGATACCCCTAGTGGTCACAGCTGTGTAGATGACCGTCTTATTATGTTGAATTCAGACACATCTTGAAATAAAAAAAAAAACTGTCTCTGACTTTACTGTTTTTTTTTTTCGTGGCACAATCAGGTTGGGTATGTTGAATTCAGACACGTCTTGAAATAAAAACAAAAACCGTCTCTGACTTTTCTTTTTTTTTCGTGGCACAATCAGGTTGGTGTACTACAGTACGGTGAAGTAGCCGTCCATGAGTGGTCTCTGATGGACTACCAGACCACACAGGAGGTGGTGGACGCTGCCAAGAACATCAGCCGACAGGAGGGACGGGAAACACGCACTGCATATGCCATCCACATGGCCTGGTACGCCTGTCAATCACCGCACTCTCTCTCCTCACTGGTTCGACCTCCTCTGTGAAAACACTGCAGGTTTGGCAGGCCAACAGGAAATGGCCGGCTGTTTACCTTTTGGTGAAACATTCTTATGGGGTTTTTCTCTCCAAATCTATCGTGGTCTATTTTTATTTATAATGACAATCAGCTCTATTTTCCTTCCAGTCTGTGCGACTCTTTAATTACATGTTCCAGTATGTTTCTGATTTACAGCTTATCACGGGGATTAGACTAAACATCAGTGACTATTTAAAGAGGCTCCGTTCAACATTTGTTTTTAAAGTGTAAATCAAATCACTCTATGTGTGTGTGTGTAATATGAAAGCAGTCACCCCTAATTATGATGAATTATCACATTGCTGTGTGAAAATATTCTGTACTTCAGACCGATTGCTTCGTCAAAAAAAAAAAATTGCCGGCTGCCCACCAGGCACCAGACACCAGACGTACAGAAAGCCTGAAACTATATGAGGACTATAATAGGCAGCTAGCAGGGCTGGCTATACTGTGGCTAAGTGGGTGGAGAGTTCAACTCAAGTGATTTTGGCTAAGACGTAGAACACCAAGTTAGCCGCGGAGTCCCGTTCAAGTCTGGATGAATGGTGGGAGGGGCGTTGGGTTGAAGAACTCCTCCAAATGTCATTATGAAGATTACACGCTGTGGTAAACCCTGACAAGTGAAGGAGCCGAATAATTCCCCCCCTCCCTTCCCCGCACACCCTTAATAAGCAGACATTTTGACACAAAAATGAAAGACTTTTTTTTTTTTTTTTTTAAAGAACAACTTATATCTGTCATTCCACTCTGTAATGGACTGTCACGTTAATGGAGACATATTTAATGCTGGAGATAAACATATCAATCAAGCATATTTTTATTAGCATTACTTTTACTATTACTTTACTTTACTATTACTTCACCTAATCAGGTCAGATCTCTATAATAACAGTAGAAACACAGAGAACGGGTGGGGAATAATCCAAAAATTGCATTTTCTCTGGAGGGGAATAATCCAAAAATTGCATTTTCTTTAACAAAAAAGTAGGGCAGGAAAAACAAATCTCACAAAACCCACAATGGCTCCTTCACTTGGGGGAAGAAAAAACAAACGAGGAAATACAGTAAAAGCCCAGTACAGTATTTTATCTGATAAAAAACACCACCATACACTCGTAGTGGTATTTATAAAAGACTTTCTCATGAAGTACTATAACTAGTAGTATATATACTACTCCTTCAAAGACCTCTATAACTATAACAACTATATTCCTAATCTTAGACCTGAACTATAACAACTATATTCCTAATCTTAATCCTAATCTGAGACTCTCATTAATCCCGACTCCAAACTAAATTTAAACCCTGACCCTCAAAACGCCCCTTCACTCGGTGGGGACCTGCAAAATGTCCCAACGAGAACAAGCTGTCCCCTCAACAATGTGCTCATAGAGCTACACACACACACACACACATGCACACACCGGGTAATTGTAGAGTTCCTGTTTTCTGGTTCCATTGAAGGGAGAATGTGGAGGTGTTTATGAAAAGCAGTGAGTGGAGAACGGAGTGACTGTAACTGTGGTCCAGATCAGAGACTGACTCGGTCTGAGGTAGTTCCTGTGAGAAAACGGATCGACTGAACTGGAGCGAGTGCCAGGGTAAAGAAATCCAAGACGTGAAATTATTTTAGATTATAATCTGATATCACATAGACGGCTCATATCAACAGTCTAACAGTTTTTCTTAGGTCCTACGTATATAAACACATGCAGTTCTTCACACAGAAAAACAGGGAGATTAGCTGAGCTGGTGCTGCTGGTGCTGCCGACTCAGCAGCACCGCTGCAGGTGTGGCACGGCCTGACCCAGTCCTGTGGGCCAAGTGGTCCTTCAGCTTCCCACAGCTGTACAAATACACAAGGAGACACGGGAGGAGTACACACAGGAGTACCTACAACTACAGTACACCCTCCTATTAACAAGTACTTCAAATTCACACTACACTTACAGTCTGAATATCTACAGTACAGTAGATGTAAGGCAGAGGCTGGATTCACCTGTGACCTGAACTCCAACAGCATGTTTGACTCTTGACCTTTGACCCCCAACCTTGTCCTTATTATAAACTTAACCCCAAACCTGAGCCCTGAGCTTAAATAGCTCTCAAAAGAACCTCTCGCCTTTCATGTCTCACTTTCTTTCTGTCACTGCTTCGTCACTGCTCCTGTTGCAGTTTTTTTTTTTTTAACTTATTTGATCATCTGTTATTTAGTATTAGTACTGAGACTTCATAGTGAATACAAAGTATAAAAACTACGACCCGACCAGTTAATATAACATCCTTTGTGACGACCTAGTGCCCTCCTAGGTCTGTTATTTAGTATTAGTACTCACAAACCAACACAAGGGGGACCTGAGACTTCATAGTGAACACAAAGTATAAAAACTACGACCCGGCCAGTTAATATAACATCCCTTTGTGACGACCTAGTGCCCTCCTAGAGGACTCCTCCCCCACTTTGAGAACCACTGCATTCTTTTATCTCACATTATTATTTCTTTGGGGGGGGGGTGTACATTTGAACAAAAATAACACACTTCTCTGAAGTATTTTTTTAATCTTATGAACTACTTTTTACAAAGGTGTAAAGATGACAAAAAACTGAGGGGAGAGAGTTGTGGAAAACTGAAGAAAGATCCAGAAGAGGTTTGCACACAGTGAAGGGAACAGTTCCAGAACTGGTGTTTAGTTTACACAGGGCGACACAGTCTGGGGGAATTAGACCACATGGAGACACTGTGAGCAGGATTGTCTGAAATTAACTGGAGGATCTAAAGATAGTTAGAACTGCACAGACGAAGATTCACAAAAAAACAAAACAAAAAAAAACAAAAATAGGGCGGAAACATTCAACCACACGTGTTTTAGTTAGAGATGGTCTCAGTGGTGCAGGAAGAAGATCAGATGAGGAAAATAAGATGGTTTTAAATTGTAATTTTAAAGAGTTCTAGGGGTGGGGGTGGAGGGGGGGCTTTACTTTCTAGTAGTAGGAGAGTAAAATACCTAGTAGTAGAGTTCTTAAAGCAGTGGTTCACAACCTTTTTTGCTTGTGACCCCATTTCTGATGCGCCCAGTTTCGTTAGCAACCTTTTTTTTGGCTTGTGATCCCATTTCTGATGCGCCCAGTTTCGTTACCTCCTGACGCTGGGTCATTGTAATGTTGACAGAAAAATGACTGGTGTGTGTGTGTGTGTGTGTGTGTTTTTCCTCTCTTCTTACAGAGAAGTTGACACCATCATCAAATAACCTCCTGCTCTAGGGTTAACCACCTATTTTCACAACGCTCCATCCATCTGAGACCATCTCAGTCGTCACTACCACAACTCCATAAAATGAGAAGTAAATAAAACCAGGGTTACCTCTCCCTCTCTCTCTCCCTCTCCCTCTCTCTGTTTTATTATTATTTTATTGCATTAGTCACACAGCGGTAACACCACATGAGCATTAATTGCACATTTTTCTTTATAGTCTTCGGTTTCATTTTATTGTCTTAAATCTTTTAAGTTGGTTTTCCAAACCCTATTTCTACAGTTAACATTCAATTTCTCCTCCTTTTTCCTCGTCCATCGTTTCATCTTTGCCAGGGTGGCACTCTTTTTTGTTTGTTTTTTTATTATTATTTTTCCCCCAGTAAAACTCTCACATAAATCTCTTTGTTTCTGTACTTTTAACTCTCTGTGCCCCCCCTCCCCTCCCCCCGTTGTCTCCCTCTCTCTCCCTTTCTCTCCCTTTCTCTGCACCCGATGTAATTTGCAGACTGCACAGGGGAAACAGTTGTTTTTAACTCAGAGTTTCTTGTGGCCGACCACAACGTTATATTTAGGTCATGGCTGGAGTTAGGCCTGAAAATGACTGAGTTCACAAGCAGTGACTACCCTGTGTGTGTGTGTGTGTGTGTGTGTTGGTCTGAGGCTTTGCCAATCCTATTCAACACTTGCAGCAGGTCCTGCCGAGAACAGGTTTCCTGCAGACCAACAGGGTGCGGCCTGGGTCTGTCCGTGCGTTTGTCATCTGGCCTTCCTCTCCGTACCGTGGCACAGACCGGATGGGAATGCACAGATGCGGTCGCCGCGTGCGATGACACATGCACGCTGTGTCTAATATCCGCTTTGAGTCAACTGAATGTATGTGTGTCATACGGCGTGACTAATATATTTATATCTGTACTTGATGGGAATGGACTGCGATCCAGGATCTAATTCCTCCACCAGCTATTCATTTTCTCAGAGAAGCTCTTAAAATTGTATGTTATCATATAGAGGCAGTTTATTTGAGATCACTGAGAACTGAAGGACTGGATCCTCCCTGTCGCCCTCTGTCTCCCTTCAGTCCTCTGATCCCGTTATATTTCAGGTCCAGTTCCACTCACATCTCGCCTCAGGCTCCCAGTATCTAACACCATTCATTACCAGGATATAATTTTACGTGATTCTGATCATTTCTTATTGTCTTTTTTTCTACAGCACTGAGGCGTTCAGTGCCGACCGCGGTGCCAGAGATGGAGCCACCAAGGTGATGATTGTGGTGACGGACGGGGAGTCACATGACGGGGAGGAGCTCCCAGGCGCTCTGGAGGAGTGTGAGAAGAGGAACATCACGAGATACGCCATCGCTGTGAGTAAACGTCCCACAGTTTCCGCTCAATTTCACATAAATAGTCTGCAAAAAATAGCCACGTCCATGGGTCATCAGCAGCCCACAGGTGGGGCGGGGGCTCAGAGGGGGTCGTGTACAACATTTATAGTAGCAACAAAAATCATTGATTACACCCAGCAGTCAGTCAGCGGGGTGTGTCCAGCATTTATGACATTCCATGTGCAGTGTGTGAACGTGGTCCACTGACCACATGCTGGGAACCCTCGAGCGACTATACAATCCCACTACCACTCCCCAAGGAACAACATCACCAAATGAACCCCTTCATTTTACTTTAAATAGCCACAAACGGGAACAAAGACTCGTCCCTTTTTCAGCCCCACTCAGCCCCCCCCACCCCACCCCACTTACTCCCCCACAACACACAGACACAGCCTGAGCATTGGTATGGTTTTAGAATCAGAGGACGAGACACATTCTGGTGGCAGGACTGGTTACAGACCCCTCCCTATCCCACAAGAGAAGCCGAGGAACCACCAGACTCCTCTCTGCAGCGCTCCCACAGAGGGGAGCTGCTGAGTGCCAGCGCGGAGCAGCAGTGGCCGAGTGCCACCATAGAAATGTGTGCTGCTGGTCTATAAATGGAGAGGCTGCTGGTTTCCCTGGTTGGACGTGCTGATTCCACAGCGAAAGAAAATGTAACATTTTCAAACTGTTTCTTTATCAGGAAGTCAATGTCAGTGTTTGACCACTGGTAAAATCTAAGAAGAATCCTGTGGTAGATGATAAATAAGACAGGGATGTTGCCGTCAGTTGGCAAAATTAGTCATTTTTGAGAAGCTCTGATTCATGATTTCACCTTCTTAACCAACCATCTGATGAACAGCGATAAACAACTGATAACTGGACAGTTAGGAAAACTTCTACCAAACGGTGTGGAATACAATCATTTCAGACACTTTCCTTTGCATAAAAGTCTGGTCCAATAATATCTTAGTATGAACTTGGTCAAAAAAAATGTCAAAATCATTTTCAAAATGCAAATCTAGATCAGAGTGCTGTTGTGGAACGGAGTAAACTCATATCTCGGGGGCACCACTGTACTTTTGAAATTTGCCAACAACAAACGTTTCTCACTCATATTAACACTTCTGGTAATCTGTGTGATCAGGGATCTAAAAAAGTGTTTGATTCAACTCACAGTACTCCGGTGACTCCTGGGATCTGATACTGCCATCCTCCCAACATTTAATTTCTTCACATTCAAGCAGGATCTCAGCAGGACGTCCACCGTCAGGACCAAACGTCCAAACCAGCTGCAAAAGAAAGAGACAGAGTTTAGGCTGAGACAACACGACTGCAGATAAACACAAACAACTGCAACGATAATAATCACCCAATGAAAAAGATTCTCTCTCTTCATATATATAAACATATATATATTTATATATAGTTGTTGCAACAACCACTATATTAGGTTGGAATTAATAACCTGGGAACTCAGTTTCAAACACCAATTGCTCCTTTTTTATGAAATATATGGCTCACAGCTGCTGCTCAGTTTGCATGAAACACAGTTTGCATAAAAGTATACGGTGACTTTTATTTAACGACGGTGCTTCAGAGGATCACTGATGTTTTTCCACCGTATCCTTGGAGAGACATTACTGTAGAAACTGTAGACGGAGGGAGACAAAACAAAGTGCCTGTTGGGGGTCAGTGATGATGGGGGGATCTGCTCTGGGTGTAATGGAAGCCATGTTTTGATCTTACACTCTGCTGCTGCTGCTTCTGTGTGTGTGTGTGTGTTTGAAACCACTCACAGGAGACGTCTGTGCTTTCAAAACAAGAGTGTGTGCCGAGCAGGCTGTGTTTTCTACATCAGTGCAGGTCGGGGGCAAGAATGAGTGTTTGTGGGGCAACAGTTCACGCAGAACCATGTCAAATATGTGTGGCCACTTAAATTCACATCCAAAACAACCACACTGGAACCAGTCGCTCACTCCTCCAAGTGCAGTTAAAATTTACAGTAGAAAACGTTTGATTTTCTCGCAGCTTCTCCTCTGTTTTAATAATACCCTCGTAGCAGCTGAAGGTCTCGGCCTCGAGATCTGAACATCCACGGTTATATGCGGACTTTCTTTATGTTGCACACTACGCCCCTCTTCACCCCCTCTTCCCCACCCTTTAAAAACAGAGGATTTCCTCAGTTTGCCCGGCAGTCGGAGTCACAGAGGGACATCTGTGGGTTTGGTTTCTCTTATGGAATTCTGTCCTGTACGTTTCAGTCACTCAGCCGTAGGCCTTTTTTCCCCCCCTTCTGTAAATCTTGAAGTCAGTCACTCTTTTGCCTTCTTGCCAGGTCTGTGCATCTCATTTACAAACCCCTGGTGGCTGCCATTTCCTCCAGTCACATGTTTTCCACTCAGCAGGCGTTGTTTAATCATGGGTGCGTAATGGAGACGCTCATTCATCTGGGTTCACCTGAGACTGTTCACCATCACTGAACGACTATTCACACTCACATTCACACCAGCAGGTCTGAGGTCAGCCTCAAATGAAAAATGTTTAACTTTAAATTCATCCGCCGTGCTGTACCCCTGCAGTAGCTTCACGACCCCCACAAGGGGACACGCACTCCTCTTTGGGAACCAGTGTGGCCAGTTGTGAGAGATGACCTTTTTCCATGCCAGCACAAGCAGCTAACCAATCAGATTTATACATCACTCCGCTTCTAAAGAAATGTTTTTTCTATATTTTTCAGAAAGTTTCTAAAAATGATCTTTGCTCTGTCTTTGTCTACAGACTGAATACTTTTTTCTCCTCTCCTGTGCTTCAGGTTTTGGGTCATTACATCCGCCGGCAGCAGGACCCCGAGACGTTCATCAATGAGATCAAGTACATCGCCAGCGACCCTGATGACAAATTCTTCTTCAACGTGACGGATGAAGCTGCACTCAATGACATCGTCGATGCCCTGGGAGATCGAATCTTCACACTGGAGGGTGGGTGATGTCTCAGAACAAGGCTGCGTGAGAATGGATCTGTGCAAGAACAAAACTGTGAGTCAGAAGAAGGAAGCCGAGAAGTAGAAGAGCGGAGAGGAGATGAACCCAGATGAGATGTGGTGCCACACAGTGGAGGGTTTTAAAAGGTTTAGAAGGGAAAGAATGGGAGCTAAGGAAAGGGTGTGGTGCTGTGTGAGAGAGACTGTTGATGCCATATATATATATATATATATATATATATATAAGACACTGAAGTGGAGGAAGGAAGGGAGGGTCTGTGTAAAGAAATGTAAAGATAAAAAGTGCTGACTGGACCCGTTTGTCCTCATGCACCTGCAGGGACGCTGGGCTCCAACCAGAGCTCGTTCCACATGGAGATGTCTCAGATCGGCTTCTCCACACACAGGCTGGACGTGAGTCTCACACACATTTTCTTCATCAGTGTTAGAAAGATATGTATTTGTTTGTTGTTCCTCATCCTCGCACTGCTTTTCATCTTTCAGGACGGCATTTTATTTGGCATGGTGGGTGCCTACGATTGGGACGGTGGCGTGTTGAAGGAAGGAGTGAACGGTCGCATCGTGCCTTCCAGGGAAGCTTTTGAGAGCGAGTTCCCGCTGGAGCTCAAAAATCATGCCGCTTATTTAGGTACCAGTACACTCATTTACTTGTGTTTTTTTTTTTTTAAGTTTAATCAGTAATACAAATAGGAACACAAAGCTGGTCGCAGGAATTGAAGAAAGACACAAAAAATTTCCCCAACATCTCTGAGTCTATCTATTTTTAGTTTTTATAGCCATCTGCTGCCACTTAGTGTACTTAATATATTGATATATTAGGTATTCATTATTATTATTATTTGCTTTAAATAAATAACATCACATAATATAATTTTTCCAGAACAATGGTTGGGAATCACTGCCTTAAAGTAACAAATTATTTTCCGACCCCTGAACCCAGGTAACATTTTGTCCAGATTAACTGAATAAGCTCTAAACTTATCAACACACATCAAAAGTTTTAAAAAGTACTGACTTTTAATTAAATATTAACATTTTCAAAATGACCGTTTAGCAAAAGATAACTATTATTTTAGGTCAATATTCATTGTCAGCCGTGAAAATAGTTTCAGGTCTTACCTTTACTTGAAAATGGCGTCTTGGCACCGGAAGTCATTTTCTTGTAAAAGTCCATTCCTTGTGTTTTAGACGTTGAATTATCCGCTGAATTGACGTATTATCGTATTATTATTATTAACATCACGTCATCGTTATCTTAATAAACAGTGTCCACTTGATAAGTGACAGTTAAAAAAAAACATAATAAAACAAAGTGACGAACAACTGCAGTAACTTGACTTTGAATCATGGGTAATTTAATTTAGTCGTCCGAGCACCTGCGTAAAAGAAGAGCAGCAAGCACCTGGGCTCACGTCTGCCACCCCTCGGTGCGGCATGGTACTGTTTGCAACATGTTCCTTTTCTCTGTGGCGTACTCGCGATCACAGAGCACGTATTTTCGTCACAATAATTAAATATATTACACAAACCGGCACGCGCCAATCTATATGGTGTGAGGGATGATACCGTGGTTGCCAGATGTATTTGTTATGCACGCTTTTAGGTGTTGTTTTCCCTTTTCTTTTAAATACCGGGAAATATTTATACCTGCGTGTGGAGGTTGTTATGCACGCCGTTAGGTGTTGTTTTTCTTTAAATGCCGGGAAATATTTATACCTGCGTGTGGAGTTTTTATGTTTGTATAGAAAGTGTCGTTGTCTACTTAGTTTTACTCCAAATGTGAAAGTGTTGTTGTCTACTTAGTTTTACTCCAAATGTTGTCCACAAAGCCACTAGTCTAGTTTTAAACGTAAGTAACGCGGCCAAACTACATGTTTTCCTTTAACGAAAGTGCTATTTAAGGCATAACGCAGCATGTACATGGATGTGTGTTCAGGTTACACAGTGTCCTCTGTGATCGTTGGGGACTGGAGGAGGCTGTACGTCGCCGGAGCTCCTCGCTTCAAGCACAAAGGCAAAGTCATCCTGTTCGAACTGAGTGACGACAGCAGTGTCAACATAGTACAGGCCCTTAATGGAGAACAGGTACGGGTTTCTTTTCGTTCGGTCTCCAGCTCAAAATACAACCGCGTAAACCTAAAGAAAACTAGCAGCCAATGTCTCTATCTAGTGGCGGTAAGCTGAAACGACATGTATTTTGACAGATTGGCTCATACTATGGCAGCGAGGTGTGTGGGCTGGATATCGACCAGGATGGCATCACTGATGTCCTTCTGGTGGCCGCGCCGATGTACCTCGGCTCAGGAAACAAGGAGGCTGGAAGAGTTTACATCTACACGCTGAATGGGGTGAGACCACAGTGATCGCCCCCTTATGGAATGAGACAATTTCACATTCTGCAACAACTTGTGTCTCCCAAGACTGACATTATATATTTATTTTATGTGGCCTGCTCTGAATTCTCCTACATTTCAGGAGGAGGTGTTTGTTGCCAATGGCACTCTGAAGTCGGATGAAAAGTCCCAGGATGCCAGGTTTGGTTATGCCCTGGCAGCTGCTCCTGACCTCAACCATGACGGCTTCACCGACCTGCTCGTCGGAGCCCCACTGGAGGATGAGCACAGCGGGGCCGTCTACCTGTACCATGGAGACGGTATTTACATCAACCACAATTATAAACAGGTTACTGGTTACTAATTTACTAAAAAAAAAACCACATCAACAACCTTTCCCGCTGACTTTCAGACGTCACTCACACCGACTGATCTGTCTCTGGCTCTCGTCCCCACAGCGTATTGCAGCGTCATCAATTTCACCCTCACTGCAGTATTTTGGCCGCAGTTTGAGTGTTCGCCTGGACCTGGATGGAGATGAGCTAATCGACTTGGCAGTGGGAGCTCAGGGCAGTGCTGTCCTGCTCAGGTGACTGAACATGAAGGAGAAAGGGCTTTTACACATTTAATGTAATAAACAAAACCACTGCAGTGATGTATCATCTAGAGCAGCGGCCCCCAAATCTTTTTGTACCAAGAACAGGTACAGACCGGTTCTGTTGTTGAATTATCATAAAGGATCATTCAATTTTCAAAATATATTTTTTTAAATGTATTGCAGACATTCATTTTTAATATAGAGCAGTGTTTCTCAAAATATGGTATGGATACCATTGGTGGTACTTGTGCTCCCCTAGTGGTAAGTGGGGAATCAGAAATCAATAGTGGAATTTTGCATTGAAAAAAATTATTAATAATTCCCTGTGTTAATTATTTCACGTGTGTTCTAACACCGTTCTTTGTTTGACAAAGTAAAAAAATGGTGCAGCACTTCCTGTTTACCTTTGAATTAGTTTCTTTGTTTGATAGTTTATTGACAAAGTAAAAAAGTGGCACAGCACTTCCTGTTTACCTTTGAATTAGGAACACAGATTTTCTTTATTCGTTTTTAGTTCAGTGTTGTTTTTAAGGAGTCGAAAAACCAAACACTCAAACGTCACTTTAATAACTCGTCTTTCCTCCTGCCTGCAGCTCCCGGAGCATAGTCCAGGTCAATGTGAGTCTGTCCTTCCAGCCACACTCCATCAACGTCATCCAGAAGACCTGCCAGAGGGGCAGCAGAGAGTCGGCCTGTCTGAATGCCACGGCCTGTTTCACAGCCGTGTCCCGCTCCCCTGGGACGCGCGGCAACAGTTTCGGTAAAAGTTTTCTTTCATTTCATTCCACACCTTGTTCACTTTTACCGTCTCATCAAGACTGAACTCACCGTCACTCACTCTCGCCATCTGTCTCACCGACACGACTCTGTTTCTTCAGATCTGTGGGTGACGGCCATGTTGGACGACAGGAAGTTGTCCGCACGAGCCCTGTTTGATGACAGCTCCCACAGACAGACGCAGCGAGCGGTCCACGTTCACACAGGACAGACTCTGTGCTACAATCTGCCCTTCCATGTTTATGTGAGACACACACACACACACACACACACACACACACAGATGAACCACAGAGACACATGTGCAGCCCTTGATCATCCAGTCTTTCATACACAGACCAGGACAGACACCTGGTTTCACCGTCAACATTTCTGTGTCTCCGTCTTTGATGTAGGACACAGCCGATTACATCCGTCCAATCAGCTTCACACTGAGGTTTAAGATCAACAACACAGAGAGTGGCCCAGTGTTGGATGAAGGCTGGCCGACCTCAGTCAAGAAATCAGTGAGTGAAGATCTGACTATCAGACTGTAGGGCAGGGGTGTCAAACTGATTCAGGGGCCAAATCATAACATAATTACCTAAAATTAAATTACCTAAGTCTAATTTTTTTCTTTGTTTTCATTAAAAAAAAGCATTTTAGATATATCTCCATATTTAATGAAATGAAATTCATCAAGTGGGCCGGATTGAACCTAGTAGTGGGCATGTTTTGGCCCACAGGCCTTATGTTTGACACACCCTGCTGAAGCGGTTCTAAACGTAATAATTTTAGAAACCTCTGCTAAAAATAAAATGTGATTATTTCAACAACAACCACTGTTTTACATCCAACATCATCATCAAACCCACGGTTCTCTCTTTGACCCCCCCCTCACCCACTCTCCAGATTCCATTCTTCAAAGACTGCGGCGAGGACGATGTCTGTACCACGGACTTGTTGCTGCAGGCCCATATGGACATCTCTGGGACAAAGTATATTCTGATGTTTTTTTTATTCTATATTTCTTTCAAATCTTTCTTCTTCTTCAGTCTTCAGTGTTTTTCTCTTCTCTCTGCTCCACAGACACAAGCCGTACGTGATCCGCAGTCCGCGGAGGCGACTGGCGGTGGAAGTGCAGCTCCAGAACAGACTAGAGAACGCCTACAACACCAGCCTGACCATGCACTACTCACGCAACCTGCACTTCTCCAGCCTTAGCATCAGGGTAGGAGATGCTCCGGCCACGTTGGCACACATCGAAGCAGCGCACACATCCTCACACACCTCTCTTCTGTTTCAGGAGGATCCTAACTTCAAGATCGAGTGCACGGCCATCGGTGCCAACAGCCACTCCTGTAACGTTAGCTACCCAGTGTTTCGCTCACAATCGAAGGTGAGGATGTTTAAAAACAAAATACAAAAATAAAAACAGCGTACTCGCTCAGAGCCGAGTCTGAACGTCTCTGCTTCTTCCTGCTCAGGTTAACTTCATGTTGGAGTTTGAATTCAGCTGCACCACTCTGCACAGTCGAGTTCAGATCAAACTGAACGCTTCAAGGTAGATACTACACGTGATGTATTAGTAGACATGCAGTACAAATACACAGGTATCTAGATACTGATAAGATACAAGACGAGGAAGGTACAACCAAACTGAAATCTTGTTTTTTGAGCATATAAGTGAGGAAAAAACTGCAGTATTTGTACTTCTGATCCTACAACAACACAGCGTCTTTTTCCTGATCTCCATATATTTCTCTCGTACAGCGACAGCGTGGAAAGAGATGACACTTTAGGAGACAACAGTGTTCAGCTGCAGAGCTTCGTTCAGTACGAACCAGATCTGTTTGTTAACAGGTACGTGTCCGTGTAGCGTTGTGACACCTGTTAGCGTTCTTCTTCTTCTGTTGGTGTACATTTACAGTACGTGTCGTTGTTCTGTGCAGTGACTCCAACCTAAACCGGTATGAAGTCCATCCCACACGCACGGTGTCCGAGGCGACAGGACCAGAGTTCTACACACACCTCAGAGTCAGTGTGGCGGCTTAAAATACTATGTTTTTTTAATTTTGTTCTTTAGTCATAGCGCCACCCTTTGGTACAAATAAATATTATGTAAGAAGGATTACATTTTGGGTGCTTGAAAATGCAGGAAAACTTGTCAATTTCACAAACATTATTGGATTCTAGAGCCTTGCAATATTGCTCTACAGCACCCCCTATGGTCAAAATAAGGAAAATATTATCTTATAGTCATTTTAATTATAGGACAATTTTCACATTCTAATGACATCTCCCCCTAGTGGACACAGATTTGGTCGACGTACTCCTAACAGCAGCTAGATCAGGGGTGTCAAACATACGGCATGCGGGCCAAAACCGGCCCACTAGGGTGTGAACCAAAATGGGTTTGAGACCCCTGATCTAGGTCAGCAGTTGCAAACAAATAACGCTTTCTTTGTCTCATTACGAAGCCAAACATACTAACACTGACATTGTCTGGTTACGGTTGCAGGTGCAAAATCTGGGCTGTTATTCAGTGAGTAATTTGGAGCTGAGGCTACATCTGCCCTCTGTGGCCGCAGGAGACCGGGTTTTCACGGCCGTCACGGACGTCTTCTCCTACAACGTGAGTCTCAATCCTGTCTCAGCGTTTTCAAACCTCTTTTTGCCTCAACCTCAACCTGACATTGACAGTTTAACCGCCCTGCAGGCCACAGGAGTGAACTGCAGCGTGCTGAGTGATCTGGCCCAACTCAAGTCCAGACAGAGAGATGTGCGCCCCCTTCACCCTGAAGACATGATACAGAATGACATACTGGTGAGCCCCCCCGCCCCCCTGCTGCCACATAAGAGCACAGCAACCATATTTATCTCGATGTTGTGGTTCCCACACTGGGGAGCGTGTCCCCCGAGGGGTGCCATTAGCTGGAGGTGGCGCAGAAAAAAAAAATACAGATAGAGGCAAACGGTGAACTTCAGTGGAGGTTAAAAGGAAAAGTAGTGACTGTACAGAGTTGGAATAATAATAATCCAATCATTTCAGTTAAATACCGATACATGACTGTGTTTGTGTCTCTGTGTCTAGAACTGCAGCAGGTCGTGGTGCACAGAGATTACCTGTGAGGTGCAGCAGCTCCTCAGAGGTCAAGCCGCAGTCATCCGCGTCAGCCGCAGAGTCCACGAAGACTTCTTCAGGAAAGTAAGACAAGTAGGACAGACTAGAACGAGTCCACCTCCTCTGCTCTGTCACACAAACACCGGCCCGTAACACTGTGTGTGTGTGTGTCTGTCACCGCAGGCCAAATATAAGTCTGTGAAGATCGTAGGAGCCTACCGCCTCACGGCCCAGGAGACCAACCTCATCACTCTGGACACAGGAACGCTCTGGAGGGAGGTAGGAACCACAGTTACAACAAGTGACGGCACACACGGTTACAGTCGGGTGTTGATGTTGTTACCAAACGTGTGTCTGTGCGTCTTCAGACTGTTCTGGAAGTTCTCAAAGGCCGAGCCATTCCCATCTCACTGTGGATTCTGATCGGCAGCATCATTGGTGGTTTGCTGCTGTTGGCCCTGATCATTTTTGTTCTTTGGAAGGTATTTTCATGTCACACTGGAGAATATAAACTGTCTGAACAATAACAAACACACTTTTAAATAGAAATTATGTAAATATAAATATACACACATATATTGGTATATATATATAATATATATTTAATGTGTTTATATGAAATATATACACATGGTATATACCATATATGTGTATATATACATGCTTATACATATATATATATACATACAGTACATATATTTAAATATGTGTATGTATGAAATTAAAATACACACATGGATATATATATATTTAAATGTGTTTCTATATGAAATATAGATACACATATACAGTATATGGGTATATATATAAATATATATTTAAATGTATGTGTTTATATGAAATATAAACACACATGGGTATATACTGTATATGTGTCTATATGTATATATACATGTTTATACATATACATACAGTACATATATTTATATACATGTGTACTGTATATATGAAATATAAATACACACATATATGGGTATACATGTACATATGAAATATATATATACAGACATACATATGTATATATGAAATATATATACATATAAAACACAAATAAACATATATTTATATATTGCCAAAATTAAGGCTTTAAGGCTCAGTAATTTGTGGAGATTTAATAGAAAAAAATGAACACATCGAGTAACACTGTTTGAATTACATGTAAGACTGATCTACTGTGATCTGCTCTGTCACCAGTTGGGATTCTTTACACGTAAACACAGAGGAGAGGAGGAGAACCACGAGGACTGAGTCCTACTGTTGCTGCCATGGCAGTTTCCACATGAGCAGAGTCTGCAGAGAGTGATGAGACTGGACTCAGGTACTGGTCTAAAACGGACCCAGAGGACCAAAGACAGCATCGCTGGGCTCAAACAGAAATGCACTTCCCACCGTTTCCAGGGTCGGCGGCACTTGTGTAAATAGTTGTTTTTGTTTCCTTTTTTTTTTAGTATTTTTAAAGAAACACGTATGTGTACGAAATCACAATTACTTTTATTTAATATGGAGAACTCATCATGGTTTTACATCCCAGGCATCACTTTAACGTATGTTGTTGTTGAAATGGATTTGATTTTGTTGAAATAATAAAAGTGTGAAAAAAACAAGTGTTTGTTTATTTTTCGTCATGTCAAAATAAAATAAAGGAAATACATTTTGATGAGTTTATTAAATTTTGACACAACGTTAACCCAATACTCTTTAGCCCAGTAGGTGGCAGTAATGCAGCTAAAGTCTGTTTGCCAGCCAGAAGAAGATGCACTGGATAAATTGAGTTACGTCAGCGAACAAGAGAATTGGTGAACAACGATGGAAGATTAGAGTGATAACAATGTAAAACATATGACGTTATGACCAGAGCTAATGTTAGCTACAACAGTCCGATTACAGACGCCAGAGCTAACGTTAGCTACAACCGTCTTGCTAAAGACAGGCGGTGTAATCAGCCCACAACTAGACTGCATTACAAGGGTCAAAAATGTCACAGACAAATATAAATAAATAAAAATGTTGTTGTTTAAGTCTACACTCATCAAACAAAGAAAACCAAACCTGTATCTATTTTGAGTGTTTTAATACCATCCCACCACAAGAGGACTTAAAAATGTGCAGTTGCTTTATTCTAATCCAAACTGAAGGATTCCAACATTCTTATAAAGACTAAAATAATTCGAAAGCATTCGTTCAAAACAAGAGTTCCTGTCATTTCCCTTTGACTGGGCTGACAGCTCTGACGGTGGAGTTAATGTAGGCTTCGAGAAGAAAGATGGTTTCATCCACTTGGTTCTCGGCCGAATCTAATCTGGGAACAGTGAAAAAAAAAAAGAAAAACGATGAGAAGACAACCTTCACTCACATCTAGGTGGCGCTGATGAACAACATGACGGTTCATTTCTCCTACTTGTTGATGTGAAGTCTTAACGCCTCCAGCTGCTGCCTTTCAGGGGCCGTGATCATCTCCTCCACCTCCGTCAGCTGCTCGGGCTCCGCCCCGCTGGCCTGCAGAGACGCCAGGATGGCTTCGATTCGCTGGGATTTCTCCAGTAGGCGTCTGTCAGGGAAGCAAGAATTCCTCTGTGTCAGGGTTGAGTTTTTCAAACACAGTCCTGTGATGTGTGAGACAGGCTGGGAGTCAGACACTCACTTGCTCTCTTTGGTCTCAAACAGACGTCTCTCGATGAGATTTGCAACCGTCTGCACGAAAAAAAAAAAACAATTACGTTTACAAATGAGCAAAAAGCTGCGTCGACAGAACAACAGTCACTGACGGGTGTTGTTTTACCTTGTAGCAGCTCTGCAGCAGCATCCGGGCAGTGGGGAGTTGGTTGACGGTGTACAGGTAAAATGTACGTGAGGGGGCGAAGTCGGGAGTTTTTGGAACTTCCTGTATGGTAGAACAGAACATAAGAGAATAAAAGAGAATATAATAAAATAGAAACAAATGCAATAGAAAAGAAAAGAACAAAATAGAATAGAACATAGTAGAACAAATGCAACAGAAAAAGAAGAAAAAAGAAACAAAATAAAAAAATAGAATAGAACAGAGAAGAATAAAATGCAATAGAAAAGAAAAGAACAGAATATAATAGAATATAATAAAATAGAAGAGACAATGACATGGTTGAGCAAAAAAAAAGAAAAGAAAAGTTTTTCCCAATGGTACTGTGGAGGAAGGAGAAGTCTCTCCTCTGGAAACCGTCCAGATCCCCATCATCTTTTATTCCTTAATATAAAACTGCTGAATCAGTCTGGTTTGGAAATCATCCAAGCGGCAAACCACCAGTACGCCCCCTCCTGGTCCATGAACTGCATGAACTGAACTGTTTTAAAACCTATATTAAACACCGTGGAAGTGCCAAGATGGTTCTGTCTTTTACCTGTACGTACAATGAACTTTTATTATTATTCTACCAGCGGACAGTATCTCTCTTCTCTGATTGGCCGACTGAGCTCTGACGATATTGTTACGTCATCCATTGACTCGACACACCTGCAACACTATTAGTAGTACAGTGAGGTTTTGTCTTTTGTCTTTTCACGGTCACATTATCAAATAAACTTTAATTGAAATATTTGTTTTACTTTGCCACAGTGGTTTCATAGGAATTACAGTGTTGGTGGTGGTGGTGGCGACCCCTGCTGCAAGGCACTGGCAGCAAGGGTTTAGTTAGTGAGTAAAAGCATTAACCGTTTTTTAACTGTCTGGCTCATCATTTATAGTGAATGTACTGCAAGTTTTGAAATTCCCGCCCACGTCAGCACCAGGCTGAAGAGTCTGTCGTCTCCTTCGTAAAAAAAAAAAAAAAAAATTCAAAACCGGGTCAAGTGTCAGTTACCTGCAGTTGTACCAGGTTCTGTGACAGCAGTATGTAGAGCATGTCTTTAGCCTCTTTAGCTGGAATCATCGCAAAATCCTCCACCTGTTTCTGCTCCAGGTGACGTTTCCTCAGCAGCAGACGGAAAATGCGTGCCGACCTGGAACCGAACCTGAAGATGGGAAATTAATGAATGGTTTGAAAGGTTTTGATGACCAAACATTAATAATAATAATAATAATAGGTGCAAAAGATGAACAACCACTGACCTCTCCTGCACCACAGACTCCAGTGTAGCTCGGGCCAGATTGGCCAGTGCTCTGTTTAAATCTGAGTGATTTGAGTTAAGCAAAAAAAAAAAAAGTTCCTGTGTTTCACAAGTTGAGAGTCAGATTTTCCATGAGGTGAATTACTATGACGTCACTTAGTCCAACTGAAAAGGATACTGACAACGTATGTCCCTCCTCCACTTTCACCCATCTTTCCAACAAACTCCATCTGGAAAAGAACGTTCGAAGAAAAGAAAATGTGAATTTAAGGAGATTTTTTAACAACGTAACGTAACTTGTTTGGTGGCAGTCGTACCGGGTCGTCCACCAGCAGAGTGAGGTACTGGTCCAAAATGGGCCTGGAGATGTTGTAGCTGCTTGGGAGAGAGCGGAAGATTTCATTGGCTGACAGGGGCTTTGTGCACGAGGCGTTGGGGGCAGTTGTCACTTCACTCATCCTCAGCATAGTCCTGACAATCTCACTGCTGGTCTGTGAGCAACACGAGAGCAGGACGTAACAATGTCATCGCAGAAACAGCTGCTCAGAGAAAACCATGGGATATAAGTCATGTTTATTCAGTAATTTGACTGGTCTGGCAAAAAATAAAAAATAATTTTAAAAAATGAATATGTATACATATATAACAAATATTTAATATATTAATATTTATGTATTATTATAATATATAATTAAATATAATTAACAATTAATCACGATTATTTGATAACAATTGTGCATTGTTTTACAATATAAAAACTACAATCATACCCCAGCAGTGGTCAATATATATATGTATAAATAAAAATAATATATATATATATATACATATATATATGATATGTAAAAATAAAAAGTACATTAAGTTGTACAAGATAAGATGTAAGGAAGAGGATCATAATAATACCTTGAAAAATTACAGTATAGTTTATGTTAAAATGTTCTGACTTTTATTTTGAATAAATGATATCATTCTAGTGATTGTTTTAGAATTGATAGACACATTTGATTATATTATTAATAGCAGTTTGTTCAGGTGTCCAGGTGTAAGTCTGACCTGGTCCAGTTTGTTGGCCACAGCACTGATGATGGCCTGATCTCTGAAGTGAAGATGGAACCTCTCAAAATTCACCTGCCAATAAATTCCCTCGTCACCGTGTGTCTGAACACAGAGGATCAGGAAGAGGAAAGGTGAAGAGACAAGAAAAACTAGGGATTTAAACACAGTTCACCACCAGGTGATGCACTTTACTCACAGCTGGGTCCAACTTGGGTTTCTTTGCGTTCCTTTGTTCTTCTCCATCCTCACCAGAGTGCTGCCGCTTGCCCCGCCCGAAAAGCTGGATTTGTGGTACCCTGTAGCAGTCGGGGAAGCTCTCCGGTGAGGGCAGGGTGGCGCTCTCGGGGGCAGCGGGTGCAGCCGAGCTGTCTTTTGCTCCTGTTCCATGTAATATGGGGCAGCGCTGGAGAAAGTGAGTCTCCACCAGATTGGAGAAGGCTGACGACACTTCGCTGTAATCAATGCTGCGGCCCTCTACAACAGACAACAGGGGGCAGACGTGTTTACTGTCTGTCAATCAATCCAACAAACTCTCAGGTAAAACCAACAAACCATCAGAGGCCAGACGCTAAAAAAAGAGCATTAAAATCTCAGGCAATGCAAAACTTGAATTTTTTATTAAAATTATTTTATTATGTGAAAATTATTTAATTAATTTTGTCATTGTATTCGGGACAATGTAAAAATATTTACCATACCATCCTCCACACCCTCACCTACAGTAAGAACAAGGATACAACCACTAATTGCACACTAAGCACTTCTGCCACTAGGTGGCGCCACGGAAAAATGGTTAGACAAAAACTCTATCAATTATGATACACATCTCAGAAGATCCTGGGTCAAAGGTCAATAGAGACAGTTACTAACCTTCCATGTTCTGGGTGAGGCGGTCGGCCACCGTCTTAACTGTGCTGCTCATGGTCATGTGACCTCTCTGAAGTAACTCCTCTACGATGAGTTCTCCAGTATCGCCGTACAGAGTTTTTGCGGTGTAGATGTAACGTGGGTAACGTAAAATTCTCAGAATGCGATCGGCACTAGTCTGGTACTCTGTGGGACTCCCAGGTCCTTTACGACCTGGACTGAACACACAGGCGCCGTGCTGCATGAGCACACACAGAGACTTCTTCACCTGAATGGACGGGAAAAAAGAGGACAAAAAAAAAGTATGTTCACCATTACTGTTAGCATAAATATATTTTTGCAGACTTGGATGTGATAAAACTAGGCTGTTACCAGATTCAGTGAGGTGCCGGTCTCATGAAGAATTGTTCTTAGATTCTGTGTTCCATTTTTGAGCAGGTGTGTTCCAACTTTTTCTACAACGTCTCCAAAGTGCTCCTGCAGCAGGAGCCCACACAGACGTGTCTCCTGAGCTGTCATCTGCACACACAGAGTCATGATTAAATGCCTCACAATAACCAATAACAAAGCCAACTGCACATTTCCTGACCTATATTTCACTGGTACTCCAAAACCCGGAAAAAGAAAATCCATGCTTAAAATTGCACTCAGAATTGCTGTGGTAAAGATTGTTAGATTAGAGTAAATATTAATGCTTCTGATCACTATTTACTGATATTTCATTTGCTTATGCAAATGGCAGTTGTTCAAAGTTAGAAGAGAGTGCGGAGGCAGATATATCCAGAGGTGGAACATAGTGCAAACTACAACCACAGCCCTGCAACAAGATCTAGGCCAACTCAACCGTTTGAACTAGAAGCTGCAATTTATTAGAATAAAACAACACAACTGATGTTGATATCGATATCCCAGCACTAAAAATACGTCAGAGAAAGTGGGTAGTGTTAGCAGATAAATAAGTAAACATGAGGACAGGTAATGTAACAGAGATCCTTTCTCACACAGCTCAGCATGAAATACAGGCAACACAATGCTCAACAACGTATCCTCTTTCAGCTTCAGGGGTCGCCGGACTGGCCACAAAGGTTCATGTCACTAGCTTAATGTATTATTTAAATATAACAGAGAAGACACATTTTCTACACACAAAATACTTATTGTTATTGATATGATCTTCTACGAGCATTATAACGTCGTCGGGGACTCAATAAAATACTTCTGATTCCGAACAGTGCCTCATCAGTATAGCATATGAACTATGCATAATGTAAACATATTGAAAAATAATAATAATAATTCGATCAATAGATAATACATTTAAAAAAGCAACTTTAAGAATTAAAAAGAGCGTAAAATGCGTATATCATCATGTAGTTAAATCGCTCACTTTATTGTAACGACTGAAAAAATATGATCATCACTTGCAAATAGTCATACATGACCTAACTCACTCATGTGTCCACTCCTGTGTACGCAACACTACTTAGGATTGCACCCAAGTTTAAACGCTAGTTTCAAATAATTTGCTGCATTGCCTAAATTCACAGAACCTGCGCGCTAGATGATGGCTAACTGTAAATAAAGCAAATGTTCGACAAACCTTTTTTTTTAATAGCGGTAATGTTACTTTTTAAGCACCGGCTAAACACATGCAGTCGCACAGTGTCAACACACGAGCAGCACTTCCGCCCTCAGCCCGTCGCACAGCCGCGGTGCATGACGGGCTGGAGGCGAACAGCTGTGCTGTGTTTGTGGAGGACCGACGTCACTGTTTGTGCTGCTCTGGCCAAGATGGCGGAGGCTGCGGCTGTTCCCCCGCATCGGTTTTTCTGTCACTGCTGTAAAGGAGAAGTGAACCCCAAACTCCCGGTAAGGCATACGCTTTTCTACATATTCCCTTCACTCTCTTCCTTATAGTACGTGTCATTGACAAGTCGCGGTTTGTGCGAAACATTGTTTGTTTCCCCCAGTTGCTAGAGCTAAGACTCAGCTAGCTTGTTAGCAGTTATCAGCGTTTGTTGTCGTTCACTCAACAAATAAAGCTGTGACACTGAGGATATTTCTCTCTGAAGCACCAAAGGCAGCTCTCAATTCACATTTTAAGTCTACATTTTTAAATCTACGTTGTACCATAACCTCGACACTCGACATAAGCAAGACGTCTGTTGTATTTTACTCAAAACAACAAAAATAGCTGAGGTCCTGTTGTTGTCTCTTCTAGCCTGTAGCCTATAAATCTCTTACTGTCAATAGTCCAAAACCCTGTCTGTAAGATTTGTTTATGGATCAACAAAATCCCCACTGAGGAAGTTAGGGAATTTTCAGGGACCATTTGTCTTTCATCTCAGTTTTAAAGTCCAACGTTGGACAAAAAAAAACATCTCGTAGGTCACATGACCAGTCTGATGCCATATTTCAAATAATTTAGAAGCTAAAATGTTTTTTCATGTAATGTAAAAAAAATCGAATTTCTTGTAAGAATAATCAAACTTAAAAAAAATCGAATTTCTTATAAGAATCTTGGTACTTGCATGACCTGTTTGATATATGATATTTAAGTTCCTTAAAAGAATCCCCAACTACAGTAGTAGTTGGGGAACTGTGCAGGAACAATAACACCACATATTGACCTATTCTTATTTAGGCTACATATATTTTTGTTATCACATTCAGACAAAACAACTGTTGTTGACTCATTCAGATCAATTTATTTGTACTGAGAGTTTCTTCCAGTTGTCGATGACAATTCACTTTTATTATTAATTAACCAAAGCTGTAAATCATCATTCTTTCCATCAATAAAGAACACCACCAAAGAGGACTACCATTTGTCCTGTAGCTCATTTATAATGTGACACTTGGAGTTCTGAGGAAAACATATACTGTATATGTAAACAAAACGTCCACATGTTGGTTTCGTTTGCAAACATTATGTCAGAGCCTTGATAGGAACTCTGACTTTGTTGGATTTACACACATCAACCGTAACAGTTAAGAAAGGGTCCTTTGTTGGTTATATCTATGAGTCATTGCATATTTTCTCATTAACACAGAGCTGTGTTATTGTCACAGTTTGTTTCCAAATTCTTCTATCGACGAGTGAATTATTAAGAGGGTGTGTTCAGAAACATCATATTGTTTAGTTTTGGTTTTAAAATCATAAGTGACAACAACCATGACATCTCATCCATAGCATAACTAGTCTGTCAGAGTCTCAACTGTTGACATCAGTTCAAGGACCAAATCATTCAGACGAGAGAAGACCCACTCCTGAAAGACTGAATGAATGTCACTACTGACATTTAAACTTGTCGAGCAAGTGTCAGACATTCACCTTTTATTTACAGATGGAGAAAGAAAAACATTAACCCGTATTGGGTTTCAGTTCTAAAGTGAGAGCAAAAATACCTGACACATCCTGGCTGGTGCTGGATTTGAGATAAAGTTTGGAAGTCTAAACTGGAACTCCTGTTATCATGTCTGGCACAACAATATCACCTAAATGCATTATAACACATTTCTCCCTACTGTCATACATGCAAGAAAACATGACTGGATATCATTGTGTTTCAAAGGGATGGACGTTTTAACCAAATACAAAAAAATGTCCTTGTAACTTTAATGTTTTCAATTTAGAGGTTTCAGTTTTGTGGTAGTTCTTTAACAGCTGCCAGTCGCATCACAGTCTGATGATAAGCATATTGTGACATTGATTGTTAAGTAGTGGTTTGAAAAATTACCAGTGGTGCCCATCATTCACCCAGAGGGTCATTCCTGGCCGCTCAGCTGGGCTGACTGCCTCATGCCGCCTCATGTCTGTGGCATGTCTTCACTGAGCCATCTGACTGCAACACACATCACTCTGCTCCAGTAGATCACGAGGATCCTGTGTCCGTCATGGATCCATTTATACAACAGATTGGACGACCTGCAAACAAATGACTCACAACTGTGAATTGAATCACATCACATATGTTGAACTCCTGCCATAGGGTTAAGTCTAATTTTATTTTTGGAGAACAAATTCACAACACACATTTGGCCTCGATTAGCTTCTGGAGTTTTCTGTGTTTACTTAAAATAATATTGAAATTATAACAATTAGACAATGTGAATATAAGGTCACAGTGGGGTGAATAAACTCCTCACTGCACACTCTGGGTGTGGCTGGTGCAGCAGCTCTTCCTCCTGTGTTACCTTCATAAAACAAGGGCCATCTTTCAGAAGTTGCTGATATCCTGCTTTGTCAGAAACTGTCAAAACAACAAGTTCAGAGACGTTTTGTTTTTCCTTCGAGCACTCAGTCAGAAACACACCGACACTAAGACGACACAGCCGTGTCCATGTGACCAAATCATCCATGTATCTGTTTCATTTCTTTATCAATACTTTTACCATACTTTCTCAACACAACAGGAACCTGTAAATCATTACATCTACTCAAGATGTTATGATTTCTTTTCATATCAACATCGAGTTTCATTCAACAACAATAAAAGACATTCTTAAAACAAAAGGTCCTCTGATGGTTTCATCTTTACGACAGTCCAACAGGAAAAGACGGCGGAAGGTGCCAGCTTACATAAGCAAACTTTTTTTTGTTTTTTCTGTTTTCCAGTCGTCTTGTGTGACTCAGTCTAAGTCTGTACTGACATTTTTTTTTCCAGGAATACATCTGTCCACGATGTGATTCAGGCTTTATAGAAGAAGTCACAGAAGACTCCAGGTAAGACACCTTCTCCTGTTTTACCCACTGTAACCACCGGGGCTCTGTGTAACTGCATATTTGAATAAAATTTATAAACTATGTATAAACGTGTGTATTTAAGGCAGTGACTAAGAGAAGCACATGACACGCAGTGATGCACTAATACAAGTATCGACGTGGGGTCCGATACTTTACTTTAATAACTCGTCATAGAGCTACACAGTTGAAGTGACACTGTGTTTACTGGAAAGCAGGTTTAGTTCAATTTTTTTTTTACTTTAAATGCACAAATGCTGTTAAAGCTCCACTCACTTTCTGTTCTGCTTTTTACGAATTATAATTTTTTTAATTAGTTTTAGCCTTATTTTTATTGATATCATTTCTAATTTGGAGACCGTTTCCCTTTTGAATACTTTAGGTTTAACACAGAAAAACCTTCTGTGAATGGGTGAAAATTAGAGCTGACTAAACATTTCCTGCTTGGTGTCCTCAATGTGGTTTAGGTTGATCTCTCACACACACACTGCACGTCACTATGTTCACAGCACTGCAGCACCTACCTATATATATCTGCCTTCTAGTTCATTTTATATTTTTATTACAACCTAAATTTAAAAAAGTATCAGGACTGATACTTGGTATCGGTTTGTGGTTTGGGTATCGAGTCGACCCTAATGGAAAGTTTACACACATTTACATCATAGTCATTGCACGTGTTCAGACACAATGTAAACAGAGCCACACACACACACACACATTTATGGATAAATGTGTGTGGCTCTGTAAAGGTTGCTAATAGTTTGTCTTTTGTCCCCTCAGTCTTTTAGAGAGTGGATCAAATGGGCTAGATGACACAGCTACACAGTTTGCAGAGGTATGAGCTGATCTGGGGGTGGTTGGAGAGGAGGGCGGTGTTGGGGGGCGGGGGCACAGTGGATTATTCACACTTATCTCATCTATTTTCTTCACTCTTGTCTTTTCTGCTTTTCTTTCACTTTTTCTTCTGACCCTCTTGGTTTCACTTTTGCTTCCTCTCCTCCCTCCTCCACCTGTCTCCCTGTGGTACACCACCATCCCCTGTAGCTATGGCACCTGTTGTTACTGGAGCGACCATTCACGGCAGACAATGACAGCAGTGACTCAGAACCCCGGCTCCCTGGAGGACGACTGGGGAGCCTCAGCGACCTGGGGGGGCTGGGAGGAGGATCACTTGGAGGCTCAGTCCCAGCGGGCTTGGGAGGAGGTATGGGTGGTCTGCTAGGGGCAGGGGAACACTGGGGACCGGGACGTCCCACTCGTCTGCAAAGCCAGAGACGATACAGGTCCAGAGGAAGCAGCAGACCAGATCGCTCCCCCGCCGTGGAAGGGTGAGTAACTGTCTTCTATTTTTGTCAACACTCCCACGGCCAATTACAGAGCATTTCTACATTTCTGCCTTCAACCTGTGAAAATTCCTGTTTTGTTTTTTTTCCCACTAACTATCACTAACTCCTCTACGTCTCCTCCACCTGCCAGGATTGTGCATAACTCTTCTGCGTCTCCTCCACCTGCCAGGATTGTGCAACAGTTTCTGGCCGGGCTCTTTGCCAACTCTGGAGCCCCGGGCTCACCTCCGCTCTCATGGTAAGGTTACACCGCGGTAGCATCACGGTGCCGGGGGTCACTGGGTCGGCGCTGCTCTTCATCAGCTTCAGTCATCTGTCTCTGTTTCAGGACGGGGATGCTGCACTCTAACCCAGGAGACTACGCATGGGGACAGGGAGGCTTAGACGCCGTCATTACACAGGTAAAGCTAACCCATCAGACCGGGCCGAGATGTGACGTCGTTAAAACTTATCTGAAGTTTCACTGATGTCTTTGTGTCTGTGTGTAGTTACTAGGTCAGCTGGAAAACACAGGGCCTCCTCCAGCAGAGAAAGAGAAGATCTCCTCTCTCCCCACTGTCAGTATATCTCAGGAACAAGCAGGTGAGACATATTTCACGACGACCTTGTGACCCCGGGGTAAACGTAAGACACATGGTCACATTTTGGTAATTGAACCAAAGTATTGATCAAGTTTTATCATCATCTACAACTGAAACTGCAATCTTTACATTTCTAACCCGAAACAAACATCTGAGTCGCTGCACGACTGCGGCGCTCCTGAACTCATCGTCGCCGTCAGCCACAGTGAAAAGCCAAACTTGCAAACACAGCATATCCAGATGAGAATCACTTTCGGCCTCAAACTTTCATGGCACGCTCCACCACCACGCTCCGTCCTGAACTCCATTTTTAACTATTTCTCTATACATAAAATGCACTAGGTTTCCTACTGAAGTTGAAATAACAAAAAGAGAAATTCTCATCAAGTGAAAAATGTCCTCCACACAGCTATTGCTGCAAAACACAACACTGAATAATCTCAACAAAGAAAAGGAAAATCCTGTATACCTCCTGAGAATATGGTGCACACTGTGGCACAAAAACACAAATGCCACAATTGTATTTAATTTGGCCTGCAGCAGTAACCCCGCCCCTCACTTTGAGAACCATTGTGGTTAAACTATCCTCAAAGACCTGTATCATTTTACATCTCCAATAA